CCTACGTTACCCACAATGCAACTTGACCATCTAATGTAGCCTGGAGCCTCTAGCAGCAGAGGTCTGGTAGGCTCACTTAGTTCTAACTGCACACCAACAAATCTTTATCATTTAGAAAACTGACGCTGACTTAAGTCTGTAGACATAAACAGCTCATTCTAAGGTAACAAAAACAGAACTGTTCTTATATTCAGCTGATTATACACTAATGAAAACATAACTATGAATAATATATATTGCATTTCTGACAATATGGCAGGTGATCACTACTTTTCTACTCTACAAAGGTACTCAGGAGGCTGCTTTCTTGAACAAATACCTTTATTACACAATATTTAAGTGAAATGACACCAATATATTACCACAAGCCATTTTTCTGCATTATATACCGGACGTATCGGTGCATTACGGACAGCATATACGTCGATACCGATATGTCTGCTATCACTTTATGATCAAGTTGGTTGTTTTCCTTTTTCTTTTTTACATTTGTATCCCCTTTATTCCACCTGCTGCACTTCCTGTCACCTGTCAGTCATCAGGTCTCTCTCTGCTCTATAGAGTGTGTGAGGAGGAGCGAGGAAGAGGAGGAGGATGGACGGCGGGAAAAACGCGCTGCAGCAGTCCGCGCGGCAGAGCATCCTCTCGTGCAGCGAGCCGAACTGCACGGCGCGCACCGCGGACACCCTCGCGCTGTCAGCGGCATCCGTGTGGAGCGGTAACGGCTCCGCGGTGGACGAGTACCGGCTCCTGGAGGCTGCTGCCTCGGCCGCCCCAACGGTCAGTAACTTTAGTTTCTTTTTCAGTGCTCCGTTCCAAAGGTCTGCTCACTTTTGTTTACAGTTGTAACCGAACTCCATAGAAAACACTTGCAATTTAATATTAACGTGCTTATTGGCAAAACATGATGGATGTAGAACGCATTTTAATACATACAGGCCACGAGAGAAGTGTTTCGTATATTTGGAATTTATTTACTTCACCAAGCAGTAAAGAATTTAGTGAATGTGCCTCTTTTTAGAGTTGTTTTGCCCGTTTCCCCATTATAGTGAAGCACACTAGATAGGGCAGCAACCGTCGTAATTCAATTATTCCAGTTAAAGTTTTTAAAAACAAAAACGTGTCTATGGTAATTTAAGCTTTGCCGAATTGAGCAATCAGTCTTCCTGATGTGAAAACAATCTGACTTAGTATTGTATAGGATGCCTACTATTGCCAGAGAGCAAATTCATATTTAATACGCATTTCTTTCTACAGAGTTTGGTTCGCTCTCCAACACGTTTATTTCTGCTTCTTAACAGTTTTGCCACTGGGCCAAGCTATACATCTCATACTGTTCACAGTGTCATCAAACTAGACTATAGGCTACCTATTGAGCCGATGAAATGAAACATGAAATAATACTTCAGTTTAGAAACAGTTTGGATATGATTATGTTCTGATTTAAGCCTATGTGGTATTTAAAAACATGAAAAAAATACCATTAACCATTAAAAATATTTACCAAGGTTGCTTTGATTTGTGAACTGTGAGGGAGTTTATAATTATTGGGCTGTCAAGTAAATTCTAAGGCGTCTTTGCAAGGCTTTAATTGGTTAGTGTTATAAATACCGTTGGTGTAAATCCTCCCTTAATTTCTGCCAACCATACAAATTTTAGTTTACGGAATTAAATGGAACTGCATTTTATGTGATTATCTGACACAGAGAAGATGAGAGATGGAGGGAGAGATATAAGAGAGAGAGAGTTACAGAGGGATGTGCTGACAGCACAATGTGTCTCTTGGATTCATCAGCAGGAAATGCATGAATGCAACTTTCCTACTCTGGGGGCTTTGAGGGGCTTGATTCATGCTGTTTGTGTGTCTGTAAATTTACACAAGCTGCTCGGGCAACATGTGAACACTCACATATGATTTTACACTCGGCTGCTCAAGAAAAAACAAATGTGTGTCTGAAGCTCCATCAGTCTGGTTTGAACACCATACATGAGAAAACACACGCATACATACATGCACAGGAGTGAGTGTAGAAATGTTCCTGTGTTATCTCACCAACACCTCGCAGCTGCACACACGTCACGCTTCACGCCTGAAAGGTCGACTTGATATTCTCCTCCAGTGGTGAGGTCACTGCACACACCTGCAGGAAGTCCAGGTGATCGGTGGAGGACTGATAATGCAGCCGTCTGCACATTTCCTGCCTTCCTGAGTGAGGATCATGTTGTATGTCCACTATTGATTGTGTATTTGCTGGCTGCTGTATGTTGTTGAACAAACACATATTGACATATTCTGCAAATGTTGTATTGATTAAACACTGGTGCTTGTGTTGTTTTATGAAGCTGTCCGTGCTGCCAAGTCTGCTTCGCCCTCATGCCAATTTTCCACTGACTGATTGGACCACTCAGGTTTTAAAATGAGACGCACAGAAACCGCCATCAGTCTGATTTTATGCAGCTACTTAGACACAGGATATCGGTCCATGTTGAGAGTGTGGTGTTGTGAGAATTAGCGGGAAGGTGTCACGGGTTTTTAAATGCACACTGAATGGTTTGATTCTCCGTAACTCGTTTGTCTTGACTCTCTCGCTTGAATCGATTCAGAGGATTTACCATGACATTCGAATATTGATTGGGAGACAAAATTGCAATGCACTGATGAATCCATATTTCTTACCCAACCTCTAATAAGAAATGCTGAGGGACAAGTTGATTGAGAGATAGTTTGGTTACATTTTGATGCTTTTGATAAGGTTTTGTAATATAATAACACTGTTACACTTTTTGAAACTACTTTCAGCTTGTAAGCCTATCAGTGCTTTCTGAAACATATTGACACACACTTTTCAAAAAATACCGCGTAATCACTGAAAACCGTGACATTTTGGTCACGTGTATAACCGTGAGGTTAATTTTCATACCGTTACATCCCTACTTTGTAGATTCAGATGATTATTTCAGTAAATAAATGTAAAGCGTAGCTTGAGGAGAAGAATAGCTTGCAGTAAAGGTTACTAAGGTCTGGACCTGGAGTGGTCAGTGGGGATGTGCTGTGTTGATATTCTGCTGCTTGGTATTTGCTCAGCAGACCGTGGCGGATGGAGGGAGTCACTGTTCTCTCTATCTCTTGCTGGAGCTCCTCTTTCTGCTCACCCTCTCTGTTCCCTCCATCTTACCATACAGATAGTCTTGGTTTTATTTGTTAAGCTTTGTCTATCTGAGTTTTCTGTCTCCACCCCCATTGACCCTTTCTAAGTCCCGCCCCTTTTTGCTCTGTGCTCCAATAGCCTCGGTCAGAAACCCTGGTCCGTTTCTTCCTTTCTTGTTCTTAGATATGCTATGTGCTAGGCTCAATCACATGTTGCTACTGAGCAAACACTAGGTAGCCTAACTAGCTTGCTAACCTACATAAATTGTTAGCTAATGTTAGCCAATCGTACATCAATCGTTGGTTGGCCAGTTAGCTAATGTTTTGCTAACACTGTGCATTTTGCACAGCAGGTACACATTTTGACATTAAAGTAAGAGACGGCAGTGACTTGCTGGCCGAAAAGCAGTAAAGAAGAGTTTGACCAATCATTCCCCTAACCAGAATATCAGGCAGGGGGGGTCATGATTGACAAGAGTCATTTCAAGAGAGGACAGAGACAAAGATGCACAGCAACATGATAGCAACAACTATATTAGTAGAAATGGCTGATGATGATCATGATGATGATGATATTAATTATTATCACAGTCAAACCTGTAACCGTAATGAGAGCAGAGTGTTGTTTTATCTTTTAACCATTTTCAAAAATAGCTTGTTTTTTCAACATAGATGAACCTAACCTGTGTGTGTGTGTGTGTGTGTGTGTGTGTGCGATTAATAGACAGGATAAGAGAGGATAAACTACTCAACTGATCAGGAGAATAATCATTTAATTATATAAAGTATAGTTGCATCCCTAATCACTGGTGTCTTTGTGAAGCTCAACAACATTTTGGAACATCTGTAGTCCCCCATATGGTGCTAAACTTCAAATCACTTAAAGCTTGTTTTTAGTATTAATTGAAATCTTTCTGAACAAATCCCTGAGGTGCCTAGATGTTGAGGTGACACATGGTAGCTACATTATGTTTTATTGAACATATAGAACAGTCTGTTGTATGTTTCTTACTTTCCATCGCTAGTAAGGAGCATCTTTTTCTCCCATTTTATCTGAATGCAGCACAAGATGGAACATCACCTACACAATGTTTTGGTAACAGTCCACTTAGCTTAGCTCCAGCTAGCATAAGTAGAGATGGGTGATCTTAGTGTGAAGCAGAGCAGTTAGTGTTCACTTACTGTCTTTGTTCAGCTGCTGCAAAAGGCAACCAGCTCACACTGAGAGCCAGCTGTGTGTGTGAGACTTTATTTAAATGAGGAGGTTGAGATGCCGCAGCGGGTTAATGGATATGAACACATGAGATGTATGTCGACAGACTAATCATTTCCTGTAAGCACCAGTCAGAAATGTAGAAGATGTGGCACATTAATGTCACACTGAAACTGTGGATGGCATTTGAATGACATTTCAGTCCTGTCTTATTGTACTCAACATATTGAAAGGATGACTACATTTATGAAGGTGACATAATTAATTCACATTCTGATGTATTTTTAAGCCGATATATCAGTGGCATCCTGGCAGGCCTCATCCATGCCCTTGTGTCCAACCACAGTGATTCGGACTAATCAGCGTCCCATAAAGACGTGTGTGAAAAGTGACCCTAACCCTGTTTGCTTGAAAACAACAATGGTGGCTGCTTAAAGAGGTTAGAACTGCAGAGTATTTCTTCATTGAAAGAAGAGCAAAGAACGACACACAAGGTTTTTCTCCATGGAAAAGATCTCTTCTCCTGACTGGCTTCAGTAAGACTTTGATGCGTTATATGGTTTGTTGATCTGATTGGTTGAAGTTCACCCATCAAGATGGTGATAGACAGATGGTTCATCCAATCACCTGTCAAGTCTTTCTTAAAAGTGTCTGCCCTTTTAAAAACTAAAAACGATTTTCCAGATGGTTCTGTGTAACAGGTAACAGTAACCTGTCATGAAGTAATACTGTCTCATCTTAAATGAGTCATATTATATAATATTCATAGTTGTATTTTGTGGCTCTACTACAATAGTTTTAGGCGCTTTAATGGTCAAAAACACATTTTCTCATACTGCCTATAGCTGAGCACCTCTTTGTCAGCTCTGAAACGCTCCGTTTGAGCTGCGGCCCCCCACTTCCGCCTCATTATTGCCGGCTGTTTTGGCAGGTAGCTCCTCACTGTAACTGAGGTTTAGCTGCATTTCTACTGTGAATATTAATTCAATAACTGCTTCTAAACCAAAAACTTCACCAGCGGACATGTTAGAGCGGGAGTCTGACCTGAAATCACAGAGAAATGAACATCAACCATCAGGATTACAAGCTTTCTGTGACGTTATTACTCAGGTAAATACTGCTATATTTGACACACTACATCTCATTTTCTAAGGTCTACTTTTATGCAACTTACCTGATTATTTGGTATTCGTAATCAACCACCTAGTATTGTATAGTTTAAGTGTTTACCATGATACCGATCCCAGGAAGTTTAATCTATCCCACCCAAAGAAAAAAATAACCCCTAAAACTATCTGTGTTTTACTATTAAAAACTTAGTACACCCTTTACAGGTACAGCAGTGAGCAGGTGAAACCATATTAACCGCACGTAGAATACAGAGCCAGTTGAAGTGTAAAAACATTTACTGTTTGAACG